TTATTGCCAGTATGCATTTGTCTAGCTTCAACTTTGAGACACTGGATTGCATTATATCTTTCTCTGCTAGACAGAAGAACCCATTATCACATATTTGTTCTCCACGTAGGTATTTGAAACCTCTAATCAAGTCACCCCTTAATGTTTTCTTTATTAAGCTAAATAGATTGAGATCTTTGAGTCTATCAACATAAGGCATGATTTCTAATCCTTGAATCATTCTTGGGGCTCTTCTCTGAACTCTCGCCAATTTATCAACATCTTTCTTGAATTGTGGACACCAGAATTGCCACAGTATTCCACCAGCCAATTATGGAGGTAAAATAACCTCTCTACTCCTACTCGAGAGTCCCCTGCATATGCATCCCAGGATCACATTAGCAGTTTTGATCAAACGATCACATTGGAAGCTCCCGTTCAGCTGATTACCTGCCGTGACCCCCAAGGCTTTTTCACAGCCACTGCTTCCCAGGATAGAGTTCCCCATTCTTAAGTATGGCCTACATTCTTTGCTCCTAGATGTATACATTTACATTTAGCTGTATTAACACACATGTTGTTTGCTTTTGTCCAATTTACCAAATGATCCCGATCACTTTCAATCAGTGTCACGTCCTCTTCATTATTTACCCACTTCCCTAATTTTTTTTTGTCATCTACTAACTTTATCAAGGATGATTTTTTTGTTGTCTTCCAGGTCATTGATAAAAATGCCCAAAAGTGTAGGGCCAAGAATCATTCTCTATGGACCCCAAGGAAAACACACCTGCTTGATTATGATTCATTATTTACAATTATATTTTGAGACTTATCAGCCAGTTTTTAACCTATACAATGTGTGTCATGTTAATTTTATTTTGTTCTAGTTTTTAATCAAAATATCATGTGGTACCAAGTCAAATGCCTTATAGAATTCTAAGTCTATTATATCAACACTATTACCTTTATCAATCAAACTTGTAATCAAATCAAAAAATGATTTCAAGTTAGTTTGACAGGATCTGTTGATTTGCATTAATTACATTACCTTCCTTTAATTCTTTATTAATCAAGTCCTGTATCAGCCTCTCCATTATCTTGCTTCGGATCAGTGTCAGACTGGCTGGCCTATAATTACCAGATCATTCCATTTACCCTTTTTAAAACTAAGCAAAACATTAGCTTTCTTCCAGTTTTCTGGAACTTCCTCAGTGCTCCAAGACTTATTGAGAAATCAACATTAACGGTCCAGTGAGCTCCTCAGACATCTCTTTTAAAACTCTTGGAGAACAACTGATATTTTATTTTTAAAATCATTAGTGGCAACTGCTACTTAATACTGATTGAAACCTCTTATCTTATTTTCTAGAACAGAGTGTCCTTTTTGTTTTTTTAATGAACGGTTTGACAATTTGACATTTTCCAAAACCAATTTTTTTTTGGAAATTTGGTTTCATGGGAAATTTAAAAAATTGTTTTCATTTTGATTTGGAAATGAAACAACTTTTGAAACATTGAAGCTTCCCATGAAATGGAAATTCTGAGTTTTGAGCAGCTTTATTTATGGCAGTGCTGCCTATACACCTGCCCAGAAGTCATGTAATAACATGCAACATGGTTCTGACAAGCCCCCCTTTCCCCTCAAGCTCCAGTCTGCATGTCCTCCATGCTGATGCTTGAGAGATGCTTTTGTTGGGAAGCCTATGGCTGTCCTATGCAATACTTGCACTGGGAGGCTTTCACAGCCTAGTGGGTCAAGGCTTTTCACTACAGCATAGTGGATCAGGGCTATGCCTGTGTGTACTGTGCCTCCAGCATCTGCCATCCAGGGAAAAACCCATCTAGGCAGTAAGTCAATGAGTTCCCCTAGGTTGCCAGTCAGCACCCTAGTTACATCTACTTCTGTGGGAGGGAGATGTGACAAACTGATAATTTCCTACAATACCCTGAATGAACTTTATTGAATAAGTTAAACCTTATTGAATTAGTTTTAACATATTTGGAGTTTGTTGCATTGAAAACATTTTTGTATTTCCATGGAAAAGGTAAATAGGAGAGCTGGGGGAAGGGGGGGGTGGACGATGACTAGACCAATTCACTCAGGTTATAACATCTCCAGAGAAGCCACTGGTGCACACATACTAGTTCAGACTGGACTCTCCAGAGACTGACAGAGAAAGAAAGGTTTTTTTGATAAATAGTCTTGCTTTAAATTGGGCCAGGGCTTCTTTCTGACCTAGCAAATGGACAGGACCTCTGGTCCACGGAGGGCCCAAGTCCTTAGGGTAGGGTTGGAAAGACTGGGCCTGCTAGAATCCATGGGGTTAATTCTACTAAGTTTATTAGAAACTGTGCAGGGTTTTTTTTATTGTTTTTAATATGTTTTCTCTGTTATGCTTTTTACCTTAAGAATAAAGTAGGCTTGCATAGCAAGTGCTGCGAGGTAACTTATAACTATTGACAATCACTCTGTTATCACTCTCGGAAGAGAAAGGAAGCAGATGTCCTTGGGCAACCTATCAGTGAATGCAGAGAACTGTGCACCCTGGGAATACCCCAGTTAAAAGGTTAAGGGGCACAGGTCTCCATCCAGAAAGGCAATGGCTTGGGAGTGGGGAGCTGGGAGTGGGTGACCTTGCTCAACCACTGTGGGGAAAATACAGATGCAATTGCCATGAACTGTGAGAACGATCTCACATGATCTTGAACTGGAGAGCAGTTTTAAATGAAGTGTCTGAAGGAAAAACAAAACACACACAAAAACACCTGCAGCATCCAGATCATCTAGGTGTGTGCCCACTTAGTTAATAACTTCATATGATGCAGTTGATTCAGAATCATAGGGAGACTAGCTCAGTAAGGTGGGGCTTCCTTGTTCATTAAAGGACTATATATGACCTTGATAACCTCTTTAGTTTTGGACTGCCTCCCCAAACCTTTGTTTATCTTTTGGACTTGGATCAGTCAATGGGGATAAACTTATGCCCATGCTGAAGTGCTTTGCTGGATCAGGGGCCGAATGCTCTTCCTTGATTGACAGATTATCTAATTATTTAGATTGATATGAATGCTAAAAAGGGAGTAGGCCTATCCATATGTTCTAGGTGTCCTTGACTCAACTTAACATTACATCCTAAGAGCCGCAGTACTTTTTAGGATAACCTACTACAAGTAAGCCTGGAAGCTTAATGACTCAAATTCCCCTTCAAACAAATGCCTACTGAGAAGTTCCCCTAAATATCAAGCAATGTATTAGGCAAACAGAAAGGATGGGATGTTCCCCATTAGGGCACCAGCTCTTTCCCCACAACACGCTTATCAGTTCTGAATGATGCCAGACAACCATCCTGTGCATGGGCAGGGACTCCATTCTGCATGATATGGAGAACTTTAATGTAATATTTCATAGCTACCTTATTACAAACAGAAAGGCAGAGGAAAGCACTATTTTGCCTAATGAATCTAGATTAGCCACCATGGCTGCAGAGGTTTTGCAGAAGCTAATTAACTGTTGAAATGAGCCATATGATAATATCTCAGATAGAAAGGATGGCATTCCACCGCTACAATTAACGTAGAGTAGAGAGCATTCTAGCCATCCAAATATTCTATTCTGTTTTAGTGCAATAGGGAGGAAGGAAAGTCATGTTCAAATCTCCTTTTTTAAGGTGTTTGTCTAACTTATCTTTGGATTCCAATAGCAAGAGACAATGTGAAAAGGACTTCTGGAAAGTCACCTTCCTGGAAAAACTGAGAGAATGGACAAGACGGAATTATTCTTAGTGGAGGCATAGATTTAACAGCATTTCCTACAGTACGTTCAAAGCATTTACTCTAGATTACAGTGGCTCTGGCTTATTTGTACACTACTTTACCAACTCACTCATGTTCCTTATTGCATCATATATTACAGCTTCCACTTGCTGTGCTTACTGCCAGCACGCGTGCTCTTCCAGGGCAGCGCTTTCTCTCGCACTTTAACTAGCTGAAAGGCAACTTGACTGTATGCAGTTAGCAAATAGGGTAGAATTCATTTTCTTGTCTCTCTTATTAGGCTTATGGTCTGCTAGGCTGTGGAATCATTATAGTGAGTGTAGTCCTGCAGCACAGAAGTCAAGAGCTTCTCCTCCTCAAAGCAAGAGACATATTTTTGATTCATACATATTTTCACTATTAAGAAAAAATATGATTCATAAGATGTTTCCTATGGTGATGGGCAAACACCAATATTTATGCCATTTTATGTTCTAAAAAGGGAAATAAAAATGAACCATCTAGCAAGATTTAAAATGGAAAAGATTAAGATTAAGGATTAATAAATACTAATATTTTGCCTGGAAGTCACAGCCCTTAGTTTCCTATTTTTGACATTCCTTGAACAAGCGCCTCATTTCTCTCAAGAAACTTATAGTTTTCATAGGTCCATTTCCTCTAGAGAAGGAAAACCTCATGGATATAGAGATGTTTAATCTCTTTGAAAGAGTATTGTGATCTCATGGTTCCCTTCTCTCTCATGGTAAGAAGGTGGTCATATTCCTTAAAGAGGTTACAACCAGTCACTTAAATCACTGCTGATCAATTCTTTTGTTCCAAAGAATATTCCTTTCGCAAGATGTAGGCTGCTGGATTAATTTGCTGACTGATCAAAATCCTGCCAAAAAAACAACCATTCAAATTCCCAGTGACTTGTCAGATTTTGCTTATAAAACCATGACTGACAATCACAGTGAGTGTGTAAAAGGCAATCCTGTGCATTAGGTAATTCATATATTCTTTTGAATGAATGAGAAAGTAATATTCCTCTGTTCTGAAGCCTCTAACTTTGTTTTTTTACTGAGCACTGTTTTGTTCTTGGAAGCCTTGCCTTTAGAAGGTCGCTGTTACAAAAGTAATAGCACATTATATATTCAGTCAGAGAAATTGAGAATGTGTTTGTTTTATTCTAAATAAAGAAATCGACCCACAAGGAGTAAAGGGACTGACAACTTAAAGACGGAAAATTTCAATTAGCAGCTACTCACTCGTGCCAGGCTGGTTCCAGATGGAACTTTATAAGGGACATACTTTCTGTAAATGTGTCCAACTCTAGAACATGGAACATCAAACATGCCACCTCCACACATCCAAACCTGAGAAGGAAACAAACAGTGACAACTGAATGCCAGCAGAGAAGATAAAATCCTAAATCATTCTGCACTGATCCCTCTTCGTGACAGTCCTATTTCATTCTGAATGGCTAGGAATGAAAGATGAGGGAAAATCCATGTTTTGATATGTCGGGTCTCGCTACAAAGAGATCACATTAAAAAAGAACAGCACAAACGATAAAGAATAGTAACTTCTGCGTCTACCAACAATGCTTTTTACAACATAAACAAGATTTCTTTATCCAAGAATTTCCAAATTCTTAATATTCTTAATTAAATTTACTAATTACATTCTTAATTCCAATAGGGCCAATTTTCAAAAGTGGTCTCATATTGGCCATATACGGTTAAACGTACAAATTAGGTGATAATTTAGAAGTTAAACTCAGGACCCTTGGCCTACAATCTATAGGATATAATCAGTACAAGGCTTGGTTCTTTACTAGGATGTACTTTTCTAAAGAAAAAATTAAACAGAAATATCAAAATAGATTATCTACCCAAATTCATATATATCCAGAAAGTGGCATGAGTCACTTATTTGTCATCTTTAGTGCAAGCTTCTTATATTGAAAGAAAGTGCGTCAACTGGAATATTCATTTTCAATGTTTAAGGGCCTGATTTACAAAAGTGCTGAGCAACCACAAGTCCAGTCGAAATTAGCGGAAGCGTAAGTGCACAGCATCTCTGAAAATCAGACCACAGATGCATGTGCTACAGGATGATGAGCGATGAGCAATTTCACTCTTCACAAGGGCTTCAATGTTGCTTGTTTTTAACAGATGTTTCTGTCAGAGAGGAAGACTGTGAATCATGCAATAGTCACAGTGGAAACCAGCCCAGCAACTCTGATAAGATGTGACCTTATGTACTTCGGTGACATGAGAACTGGTGTACTTCAGTTTGTCAGCTAAACAGACCGCTAAGATAGTAGGTTGGCAAAATGGATCAACACACTTGTAGGATAAACATACTGATTTTAAAGAGTGTATTTTGACTTTCTACTAATAAGTCAGTGGGAGCATCAAAGACAACAGTAAATAGGATAGCAGAACATATACATAGATTTTAAAACTAATCACACACTAAGAGTTCAAAATGCATCTGTAGACCTTGTGCTGGGACTACCACAATCATGCAGTAGTCTGTTGAATATGTCAAGTAGGAAAATCACTTTGCTTTTCACAACCCTGGGAAAACAACTTTCTTAGCTCTCTGAGTCTGCAAATTGTTCTGTAAGCAGAACACCCACTATTCTGCACTAGTTCTGTACAGAGCACTTGCAGTCTCAGCTTTTTCAGCTTCCAAACTGTGAGATCATCAGCAAGCAAACCACCCCCATGTGCAGAAAGAGAAAGAGGAAACCATTAGCAAGAAGAAAAACAGAGTCTTTCAGACAGAGAACAGCAGCCACAGAGTAATACTGATTTATTCAGTTCTTGGAGGCTTGAAGAGCAAAAGATTTGTGAGTAAGATTCTTTTGTTATCTAGGTTAGTTAGAAAAAACTGTTTCTGTATAGTCCAAAATTTCCATTAACCCCCCCCCCCGCGCACACACACACACATTTTCATGGTAGATTATTTTAGGGAAATAGTCAAACTTTTGGAAAAGTTCTAGAGTAGAAGAACTTGACCTTTTAAGAGTTCTCCTATTCCCTAAAAACTACTCTGCAGCATCTGCATTCTGTAATCAACTAGGAAAATGTATAAAGACACCTAGCTTCACTGAGAAGTCAAGCATGGTCACTCTCACAGTATGGTCTGTATTGACACTGTGTGGAAGCTGCAATAGTATACTTCATAAACATCTGGAGGGATCTCGCTCTGCAGACAATGAAGAACTCAGTAAGAATGCGTGAAAGACAAGACATAATATAATTAATATCAGAGTAAAAATAAAGACATGAAGCAACATCTCCCAGAATCTTGTCAGAGCTTCCATGTTGCAAGGTTCAGTCTCTCCATATGCATATCCACATGCAAAGGGCCCAGTCTCTGCCATCAGTGTGTTCTGTACACATGAGGCAGAGGGCAAAATGTGCTTGTGGTCTAGGGAAAAGTAGAACACAATACATAGACAACAGCAGTGAAATGCTGGCCCTACCAATGTTCATGGGAATTTTGTCATTGATTTTAGTAGAGTCAGGAATTTACCCCAGAGCTGTTATGTTTTCACTGAAAAAACAGTGTGGGATGTGTGGAAACCAGATAGTTAACAACAGGAATATGTAGTGTACACCATCAGAAAAGGTAGCATAGTTAAGACACCCGTTGTTATACCCTTTGGCTACTCTATACATTTCTCCCAGAGAGCAGATGGCAAAAGTGCTCAGAGGAAGTCTAAGTAAAACGTCCCCAGCCCTACAGTGCACACAACAGCATGCATTCAAATTCATACAAGACCAAAAGGTACAACAAATTAGTGCTGGCAGACTAATGAGACAAATAGAGAACCCAGCAATAGTGCATGCTGATCGTCTCAACATCATGATCACCTTAAGTTAGGACAGTAACAGGAAAAGTGAAGGTCTATGTAGACATGTAGAGCCAAGGTATAGGATAATGGTGATTTTGCTGGGTAGGGTGAACTCTGCAATGGGGAACACAGATTGTGTACAGCAACTGAATAAGGGAATAGTTACCACCACAGTGCTGTCCCTGTATGGTGTTCAGGGGCACCATCTTCTCTACCAGCTTCCAGCTAGCATGTGCCTGATAAATGTGAAGCCCCACCCACTGAAAATAATTACTTTTAGAACAGAGAAGGAGAATTCCCTATCTAGTCTCACGTCCTATCCTGTAGCCTCCCGGTTGCTATGAAGATGAGGGTTCTCTTTTACTCAGCTGCAGCTCTAGCTCTCTCTCTGCTATTCCTCTCTCTCTCTGCTATTCAACTCCTTTCTCAACTTTCTGGCTACTGAAATGGAAATATTTCCACTACTCTACAACTCCCCTGTTTGTCATGTCTGAATCCATCTCACCAAGCCTTTTTCATCTTCCAGATCTTCTCTACTGCCTGCTGGCTGTTGTGTCTGTTTTTTTCCAGCTACAGCAGAAAATAAAAAAGTGACGTGATTCTTGTCAGCTTCATGACTGCTCACAAAAGTCTGAAAAAACAATAGTTAAAACTGACAGGTTTTCACTCTGAAACGGCTCGCCAGTTCACCTTGCTTGCACTGTTCTCCTCCTACAAGCCCTTTCTTAAAACATCTTCATCAAGGCCCTTAAACCCTTGCCTACGCATTCTCAACTCTCCTAACTTACTGAAAAGCAGTGCACAAACACACAAAAATCCATAAAGAAATAATGAAACTAACAAGATGTGGTTAACTTCACCACTCCTTCATGTTCCATTATTCTCCTTCCTGACAATCCTTTGGTAGGGTTACCATATTTCAGCAAGCAAAAAAGAGGACGGGAGGAGCCCCGCCCCTGTCCTGCCCTAGCCCCGCCCCTGCCCCACCCACTTCCCGCCCCCCTCAAAACCTCCAACCCTCCCCCTCACTCCTTGTCCCCTGACTGCCCCCTCCTGGGACCCCTGCCCCTAACTGCCCCCCCAAGACTTCACCCCCTACCTAAGACTCCCTGCCTCTTGTCCCCTGACTGCCCCCTCCTGAGACCCTCCCCCCCATCCTAACTGGCCACCTAGAACCCTACCCCCTACCTGTACCCTCCTAACTGGCCACCTAGAACCCTACCCCCTACCTGTACCCTGACTGCCCCAACCCTTATCCACACCCCCACCCCCAGACAGACCCCTGGGACTCCCATGCCCCATCCAACCACTCCCCACCCCCTGACAGCCTCCCCCAGAACTCCC